TCTCCTGTCTCAGCTTCCTAAGCAGCTGGAATTACAGGTGCCCACCACCACGCCCAACTAATTTTTGGTATTTTTAATAGAGAAGAGGTTTCGCCATGTTGGCCGCAGTGATCTTGAACTCCTGACCTCAGGTGATCCCCCCACCTCAGCTTCCCAAAGTGCTGGGATTACAGGCATGAGCCACTGAGCCTGGCCTTTGTTTTTTTCCTAACAAATACATTTTTCACAGAGAGCTGTGACTAACTTCTCAAAATAGCAAACTGTGCTGTCATACAAGGCCTCTGGGGGCAGGGGATCTCTCTCCTCACTCAGCCGCTCTCTCTTGCCCTGGTCCCTGACATCACCAATGAGGCAGCACTCTGACTCTCACCTGCCAAACGTGGGCTGGAGGACTCCCCTTCCAGTGCTCGCTTCTGGCCAGCTAGACCCCAGAATAGGGCAGGGCTGCTATGGCAAAGGCCAGGTGTGAGCATCACCTCTACATATGCTGCAGACAGCTGTGAGGGACAACTGCCGACTGGCACTGCACAGCCCTCCACAAAAAGCCTCTGTTTATATTTGTTATTCTTCAAGTACATGTGCAAAGGCCCTGTAACTACTTCCTCAAAGTCACTCCTGAATGGTGTGAGTGAGCTGTGTGGTCAGGACACAAGAGGGAAAAGCTGATGGATGCCTCTGTGTGTTCTGAGATTTCACATGGACACGCCCCAGCGCCACACTTTGCATGGGGAGGAGGGTGAGGCCCGTGATTGTGGAGTCTCTGGAGATGGATTTGGTTGCTGGCTGCTGTTTCTGCCTAGCTTCAGACAACATCAGGGACCTGGTTTTGCCTTCCAACCTTAGATAGCCTCCTCCACACCTGAGTTCTTGTTTGAAAAACAAGGAATTTAGCCCTATTAAGTGGTGAATGCCCTCTGGCTCAGGTGTGCTGACACCGTAAGTGGAATTCACGTATAGTTCATGAGGAGAGAAAACTGGGATCCGAGTTGAACAGCATCTCCCAGACATAATCTGTTTCCATCATCTGCATTTTGAACTGCGTTACCAAGGATTTATAATCAGATCTAGACCTCCAAAATATGCTGCCTCACCCTCAGTGTTTTCAAGGTCTGTTTGTGCAAAGGCATTTTGTGATGGCCATGGTGATGCGTGTCTTTTAGGAGTTCTTTTTTTTTTTTCTGTCTTTTAATCCAATTCTTATCAATACCACTTTCCACGTAACGTGATATTTAGGCTGAAATGCTGGCATCTGAATGGTGAAGACGGCATATTAGTACTCATGATGAAAGTGTGAAGAGTAACTGCTGGGGTTTTGTTGACCCATGTTATCTACCAAGCTAGTAAAATCCTCTTGATTAGTTTACGGCTTGCAATGCAGAAATAAACTTCCAACTCCCTCTGTGAAATAGTTATTCTTTATTTAAGTCTGTCACTTCATAAAAGCAAAAGCCTAGCGTGAATTCTTTTATGATCAGACTGCGACTCTCTATATATTCACAGCCACTGAGTGGAAATAAACCCACGTCCTGCAGACTGAATAACAAAAGGGAAGGATAAGAGGGACCTGCCTGGCCTTCTCACCTGCAGAAGAATGACTCACGTGCAGAGGTCATGGTTCAGCTGTGATGCAGGGACGGGAAGAGTTTGCATGGATGACCAGACATTTGGTGTATGCCGTGTATGCATCCAAGTGCGGTCAAGGCCACTGCAGGTGAATGTGCCGTTCCCTGGGTGGGGATGGTTCTTGCTGCCTTCAGGCCTCTGCTCAATGGTCTCTCTAGCAGCAAGGCCCTCCCTCCCCACGCAGCATTAAAAAAGCCCCAGCTCCCCGACCCCAGTGTGTTCTATGCCCTTACTTAAATGCAGTTCTTTCTCACTGCTCATTGTCCTTTCACTGAAATGCAGACTCCACAAGGACAGGTGTTTGCTGCTTGAATTCTCCCTTCCCAAAGTCCAGAATGGTGCCTGGCACTTAGGCTTTCACACAACTACAGACTCCGGTAATGTTGGTCCATGGATGGATAGGCTGACACAATGACTGGAAAGTAGACATGAGCGCATTCTTTAGGAGAATCTGAATGAGGGCCCAAGAACAGTGGGAAAAAAACAGCAGCTGGCTCACTGAGGACATCCAGCAGTGACTGCAATCTAGTTCTGACTCCAAAGACCCTGTGCTGTGGCTATTCATTGCAAATAAGGGACATTTTGTAAAACTCTCTGCAAGTAGGCCAGATTTGGATGACTCAAAACCAGGTCTGGGACTTCCTGCAACTTTGGCCCCACCCAACAGGGGAATACAGGACAGACTCCCGCAGTGAATCAGGAGCTGATGCACTCACACCGAGAGGGGAGCCACGGGATCTAGTGAGGGTTTACAAGAGTTCCCTGGAGCCTTTTAGCTCTGTTTCCATGAAAGAAACACATCTGGACCAATGTCTAGGCAACCTGGACTTGGGAGACATTGTATTCACGGATGCAGACCCTGCCCCGTGCTGGAAGCAGGGAAGATTTGCACTGTATTCAGTACAGTGGCAAACTCCCCATGTTCTTCACAAGCATACACGACCATATTCAGACACTCACAGTATAACACGCCTACTACCCTTCAAAGAGGAAGGTTTACACACCCAGCAACAGCTAAGAACCCCAGCCAAGTTCTGTAGGAGATGCAAGTTTGCCAAGAGGTGAAATTTCCAGGGTGTTTCCTCACACTTTCTCTGTTAAAAACACCGTAAGATACCCTGACAAGGAGACTGCTGGTGCTCATTGATGGAGAAAGAGCATTGAAGACAGAAGAAAAGCTACACACGTGATGATCACATGTGCTATGCTGTGTACGTGGTGCGCGTTTTCATTGAATCCTCAAGACAGTCACAGACCCAGAGGAGCAGGGCCTGGGGAAAGTTTCCCCACAGCCTAAGGTTCTACAACCGTCACGGGAATATGCATTCTGAAGCTGGCTTTTGCTGCCCAGGCTTAGCTCTGCTCTTCCCTCTCACTAATGCCCTGCCTGATGCCAGGTCTGGGTGTGGGGTGCTATGCACTGTCAGTCCACGGGTGAGCCCTGCAGGTGTGGACGGAGTACGGGAAGGTGCGGGAGTGTGTTGTGGACAACGCAGGGGAGAAAGCCTTGGGAGTTATTATCTGGGAGGTTGGCAAATATAGGGTGATAACTGGGCAACTGCAGTGTAAGGTGGAATAAGAACCCAGGCCAAGAGAACAGCTAAGGAGGGGCCGCTGGGCGAAACTGCAGAAGCCCAGGCTTCTCCCCACAGTCCCATGCCTGGCTAGCTCTGACGCCAGCTGAATAGGAAGTACAGCAAGTTTGAGACTCTCTCGTATAAACCATAAGGCCCAGTGTCCGGGGACACGTGCGGTGAGGACAAAGGAGAGGTCGTTCTGTACAGGGCAGACAGGGAACGAGGCATGTTCGTCAAACAAGAGTTGTACCTTCCTGCCTTCTGCATGGGGTTTATACATGTCCTCGGGAAAGGAAGGAGTGAGCAGAAGTCGTGGCCATGAAGGGCGCAAACTGTCGTTTTCAGGAATAGACAACTCTGAATAAAGAAACGGCTTCATGGCCAAAGAGGCTATGAGCAGGCATCTTAGCCAGCAGGAAGTCAGCCAGTCTCATCTTGCGGATTATGCTATTTTGGGCTGACTTCACACCCCAAGATGCCAGTGTGCACTGTCCCATGACATTCATGTTGGAAATTATTGCTGAGAAGATGGTAGAAGCCAAACCTCAGGCAAATTAGCCATAGGTGCAACCACCGAGGGGAAATGTCTTCCCCTCCCACAGCATTGGGTCGCTGGCCGGTGCCGCACCCCACGAAAAACCATCACTCTACACGCTGCCACATGGCCACCCGGGCCACTCTTCCTTTTTTTTCTTCTTCTTTTTAAGAGTATCGTGTTCCTTTTCTTTCTTTTTCTTTTTTTTTTCTTTTTTTTTGAGACAGGGTCTCACTATGTTGCCCAAGCTGATCTCATGGCAGCCTCAAACCATAGTGAGATCATAGTGAGGATCGAGCATCCTCTCGTCTTCCCCTCCAGCGTACTGGGACTACAGGTGCATGCCACGGCACTCAGATAAGATCATTTTTAAGATACAAGGTCTGATGGTAAAGTCTGAGGAAACTCCTTTAAATAGAAAGACATGCAGGGAAAACACTTCTAAATCTGGGAAATGTTTACAAAGTCAAGTGGGGGTTCATCAACTGCCTGACCATGAGGCTGCATCGCTGTTTCTGGTTGTTTCCAAGGCAAGCATCTCTGTAGGGACACCGAGAGGTGACACACACAGGGGATCATTTCCCCCAGGGACAACCGCCCCGCTGGGCCACCTTGATCAGAACACCTCCAGGGAACAAGGTTGACACCTCCCAACCACAGTTCCTTACCTTCTCTGGACAACTGACTGCCCAAGTTGGGCTGTATCTCAGAACCTTCTACAATTAGATTTATATTGAACCACTGAGGACAGCAAACAGAACCCAGGATTCAGAGAGACCTGCTAATGATCGTGTGCCTAAGGCTGAAGCCCACGGACCTGCGCTCACCACTCACAGATGCTACTCCCAGGAAATTTTCCTTAACGTCCTTCCTGTTGGCACCTTGTTTCAAGTGAAAATAGTAGAAGTAAAGTCTGAGATCCAGGGGGTACTTTGAGTGAGCAAACTGCAGTTATTTTTATTTTAGTTGGATAACTAAAATTAAAAGGAGAACATGGGGCTGAATTACATTTTCTTTACATATTATGTCCCTCAGCGCCCCAAAGGCGTGCTCATTTAGAATCAGACTGCGCAAAATAAACACTGGGTCACAAGGGATAGCTTCAGTTAGAAGTGTCTTTAGGACAGGCAAGCATGCATGTTGTCCAATGACAATGTATGGCCCCTTCCCAGGGTCATGTGAGGCCAGTCATGGGGAAGCTGAACTATTCCCAATTGTCCACATAAGCCTGGTGGCAGGAGGTGAGGGGAAGGCAGAATACTCACAGGAACTTTCCGTTTGTCTTTGATCCTATCAAGACAACTTGCTCAGATTCTTCCCGAGTGATTCTTCCATGGAACCAAGGCATTTTTTCATGGGCTGTGGTGGCGATCAGCTTCTCCAGCTGAGGCTTCTGACTGATGATGGCCTGCTCCAGAGCCTGACCCTGCCACGTGGAGAGCAGAGCAGAGTAAACCATACCGAGGAAAAATGAAAATGATCCAATCTATCTCAAGTCCTAGCATGGTAAAACAGAATCAAACCTTATTCACTCATTCATTCAATAAATAAAACCAGAAAGACCTTTACACATCACTTAAGGACTTTCAAGTGTATAAATAAAAGTAATATGGCCGGGCACAGTGGCTCGCGCTTGTAATCCCAGCACTTTGGGAGGCCAAGGAGGGTGGATCACTTGAGGTCAGGAGTTTGAGACCAGCCTGGCCAGCATGGCGAAACCCTGTCTCTACTAAAAATACAAAAATTAGCCAGTTGCAGTGGCACATGCCTGTAATCCCAGCTACTCGGGAGGCCGAGGCAGGAGAATTACTTGAACCCAGGAAGCGGAGGTTGCTGTGAGCTGAGATCGCGCCACTGCACTGCAGCCTGGGCAACAGAGTCAGACTCTGTCTCAAAAAATAAAAAAACAAACATACATATCCTTTGCTGTGGCAAAGCCAACTCTTTCAAAGTTTTATCCTGCAGATGCTACATACAAGTGTAGTATATGATAGGTCTAGAGCAAAGTTATTAACAGCGTTTATTCATAAACAGGAAATGTGTCCATCAATAGGTACTAGTTAAATAAAATGTGGTGCATAGCAAGTGACACCAGATAGCCAAAGAATGGGCAATGCAGCTACTATATGTGCTGACATAGAAAGTTCTGCAAGAGATATTAGGAAGCTATAAAATTAAGTGCCTATCAGTGTGTACAGTAGGACCTTGCCAGCTAAACAGAAACCAATCGATACCTATCAATGCCTCTCCGAAAAGGCCTTCCATGTGCTGGGTAACGGTGTTTTCCCTGCAGTGGAGAAACTCACATTGCTAGCACAAAGGGGCCCACACTTCAACTGTGGCTGCGAAAGAGGAAAGGCTCGTATTAGAGAGAGGTATTTTTTTGGCCAAAGTTGATGCCAAGGAGATGGCTGTGTTATTGAGGCACACAGGACACATAGCTGGGAAGTCCGTGTGGGGTCACAGGGCCCCCTGCGCCCAGGTAGCAGGACCAGCTGTGACCCACCTGCAGGTTCCACGTCTGCTTCACATATTCCCTGATGAGGTTTTCCTTCAGGTCCTCAAAGGGCCCAGTCTTGGGCTGCACCCCTTGGGGCCGGTTGAAGGGCTTCTTGAGGAGGCAGACCAGGCCATCGGACTCCTGGGAGTGGTAGTGGCAGAGGTCGGCGGGGCTGGCGTGGGTCCTGCCACCGGCGATGGCATAGGTACCATTCAGCTCCCGCTCGATGGTGTAGTGATGTGCCTTCCTCCCGTGGGCCACGGACAGGGCAAATCCGCCCAGGTAGTTGCGGCTCTGGCGCAGCAAATAGAGCCCGTCACTCATGCCCCCCTGGACCAGGTAATCTTCTGCCTCCTCCCGGGTGATGTTGCCGAAGAAGAAGGGCAGGTGGTTGGCACTGTCAGCCATGCTGCTGCTGGCCATGCTTCAGGGGCCAGAGGGCGCACACCTGCGCAGGTGTCCACCTGGGCAAGACAGAGAGAACTTTGGTGAGGAACCCACGTGGCAGGGAACGTTTGCTAAAACCACTCACACCCTTTTAAAGTGGAGACAAACCCTTCCGGCTCTGAACAGAAGCACTTTCCTCTGTGGCCCTCCCAACACGCAGTTGTCTTTCTGCTCACACCATCATTTTAGCTTCTAGCACGCCCTCTAAATAAGCTAAAATCAGAGCAGTTGATGAAAGTGATCAAATTAAATAATTCTTTTTTGGGGGGCTGGGGGGAGACAAAGAATTCTAAAAACACACACACCACGAAGAGAAGCAAACAGAAGGACAATTGTAAAACAGGACTGTCGGGCTCACCCTCAGGGTCCCAGCAGCACACAGGAGGCAGAATTGACCTGAGCACAAGCCAACTGCTCCTCCCGAGTCCAGGCAGTTAGAGAAGGCTCACTCCTCATCACAGTGATAGTACCAGGGAGGACGCTGCCACCGCCTCACCCACCGGAGCTGCACGACGCTGCCTCAAGCAGTCAGTCACACGCTGGCACTGAGCCCCAGAGGTTGAAGTGAGGCCATGTTGAGGACCCACACGGAACTGCAACTTGTGGTCACCACAAGGTTTTCCCACCTTCAGCCTAGGGCTGTGACAGCAACAAGCTGCTGCCTGAGGCATGAAGAGTAACACCCTCCCAGCTCCCGGGGCCTGGGGCCCATAGGCTGTCCCCTCCCCGCTTCTCCAGACCACTTCCTGGGCAACACCACTTCCCATCAGCAGGGCCCGGGTTAAAGAGATAGTGCCGGTTCCCAGCCCACGAGGACATCTCAGGACAGTAAATAAATATATCTCAGAAGCAAAAAGGAAGGTGGCCAGTGCGTATTCAACATGGAGAATTTTTCCTCTCAGTCATATTTATAAATGAGAATACTACATATTGCCAGCCCCAAAAGTATCCAACAAGGCACATTTAACTAAAAGGGCTGGTCATGAATGGAAAATTATCTAGATGACTTCATCCATTTATCCAGGGAGCAAAGCACATGCCCCTCATGCTCCACACACACACACACACACACACACACACACCACACACCACACACACACACACCTTATACCATATGCACACTACGTGCGTGTCACACACACTATAGACACACACCACACATGCACTACACATACATACCATGAACTACAAGCACATTGTGTACATCACACTCACACCACACAAATACATACACACCTCACACACAAAATATACTACACACAACACATGCTATGCTACATACACACTATACACACAAAACATATATGAAACACATCACACTACTATATGCACACTATACACATCACACTACACACATACTACATGCATGCCACACACACTACAAACATATACCACACATGCACTACACACACACCACACACACACACCTTATATCACATGCACACTACATGTATGCCACACACACTACAGACACCACACATGCACTACACACACACACCGTGAACTACAGGCACACTGTGCACATCACACACACACACCATGCACACAAACTACATACACACCACACACACAAAATACAGAACACACAACACATGATACACTACATATACACTGTACATACAAAACACATGAAACATATCGCACCACTACATGCACACTACACGCATCACACTACACAGACACACCCCATACCACACACACACTACATGCATGCCACACATACTACGAACATATACCACACATGCACTACATACACACCACACTATAGACATCACACATATCACACACAAACTACATGCACACCACACACACAACACACTACAGACATCACACACACCAAATACAAACTACATACACACTACACACACAACACACTGCACACACCATACACTGAACACACACCATACACACACAAACTACATACACACTACACACAACCGACTACACACACCATACACAAACTACATACACACTACACAAACAATACACTACACATAACACATGCAACACTATATACATATGACATACACAAAACACACAGGAAACACACCACTACATGCACACTACACATCACACACGTCACACACACACCACAAACTACACCACACACACACACCAATACTATACACAACACACACAAAACACACATATGAAGTGCACCACACCACAGACCCCACACTACAACAATGTGAAGCAGCTTATTCTCAATCTGCACTCTCCTACAAGGGGCTACAAAATGTAAGACTGTCAGCCTAACACAGGCGACAGAGGTTTCCCCAGACCGTATCCTCACATCAGTTCTCCTGGGCGACCCCCAATTAGGCGTGGGTTTTCTTATAATTTGAGGATATTAATCATCATTTCCTGGCTAGCCTCTCATAGCAGTTGACTATCAATTACTTTTCTTTGTCCAACAAGTTTCCAAAAATTCATCTCTTAGCAGGTCTTTTTGTTTTTAAAAGTATGTCCACATTTACTTTTGAGTCTAAGAGTGCTGGTAACAAAAAGACATCTCTGGAAACAGTGCTCTGTGAGTCTCTTGGAAGAAACACTTCTCTTCCGACTGCTTTCCCCTCGGGCTAAACTTTCTACAGTGCTTTGGTTGCAGGTCAGCCACGGCCCTCAGCCTGCCTTTCCCCCATTCCACCCTTTTCCTGCAGTGGGTCTTCTCAGGCCTACAACCTCATTTCCAATGTTTCGCTGCAGCCCAGCACAACTCAGACTTCCACATGGCCTGGGGGCTCTGATACTCCCAGGGCCTGGGGAACTGCTGTTCCTGCAGCCCCGACAATGCGAATGCTGGGCTCTGACACCATCTGAGACTAGGCTTTCTATCTTCTCTGCCTTCCCTGCCCAGGTGGTGCCCCAGCCAGGAACACAGGGGTCCTCTGCAGGCCTTGCATTCTCTGAGGTTTGTCTTCCAAGTGTCCTTGGTGCATGCTCCTACTGCCTATATCCATGACCCCTGCCTGGGCTAACCCTGTCCCTTCCACTGTCGCCCTTCACCCCTCACCTTCTGCCTCCTGCTTCCTAACACCTCCCTCTCCAGCTGCCCAGTCCTCCCTCAAAGCACACCTCAGCCCTCCCTGCTTCTTCCAACATGCCCAGTCCACAGACCACACTGGACTGCACTGGGATGCTGTGGCTGGCCCTTCCCATCCTCACTACACATGCCTTCCACTGGGGAACGCAGCTCTTCCCCTCAGCCACCTCTGTCATCCCTGCAGATCCAGCTCAAACACCCCTCTCGCTACATACCTGGCCCTGATGCTCGTGTCCCCTCTGCAGGGCCCAGGTTACTTTCTATGTAGTTGCAGAATAGCAGACTGCACCATCAGCTCCAACTGAGCTAGTAATTTTGTAGGAACAAAATTTTAAATAAAATGTGAGCAAATGCTTTTTAATTTATATAAATCTTAACATAGCTACTATTTTTAAAATTCATTGGCTTGTCACTAATAATCACATGGCTGCTGGCACTTAGGCATGAATCCCATGTTGATGTGAATGGAAAGGAAGCGAGACAGGCCGTGGCCAGGTCTCGGGGAGCATCTGCAGACCTGCAGCAGCCTCCAGCCACATGCCGGGGACACCCTGTGTGGCTTCGATGGTGCATTGCAGAGACATTCCCAAGTAGGTGGCAGAAGAATGCGCTGCACTCAGTGTCAGCACTGATGTGGCTGATGGCCCTTTTCTGGCCATGTGACTTCCTGTGCTGGAGCTGACCTGGCTGTGGGTGACGGTTTGGGCAGAATCAGTGGTTCACTGCAAGGACAGTTTATGCGACATTTTTGGGCTATGTAATTGGGGAAATAAACAATGTCTGCCGCTGTGCATACCTTCCTGGGACAGGCACCCACTGGCACTGCCCCGGGGCCTTGTTCTGGTCTCCCACCTCCTCTTTCACAGGCCACCTTGGCAGGAGATGGCCATCTCCAGCCACTGCCCACGGTGGCCCAGGCTGCTGATCTCAGCTCTACTTTTCAGATATCAGCACTCACTCAGTATGGAAAATCCAGAGAGTCTCGCTTTTCACTCAGCCATTGTCTCAGCCACAGCTGAGACATCTCTGCCGCCCCCACCACCTGCGACAGGGACGGAGCCGGTGACTTTCACCTGTATGCATTTCTCCGGCACACACAGACTCGGCCTTTCCACCTGCTGCTTCTGCAGCTCACAACACTTCACTCTGACTACAAGGATAGCCCATGGCTCAGATTCTCTTTAGCATTCTCTGGGACCATTTTCATCTCAATAGTGTTTAGAACTTGCCCCCTAGTTTTTGTTAATTCAACATTCCAGTTATTTTTTTCCACGTGTGAAACTACTTCAATCCAAAGCACCAAAATGAGAAACAAACTAGGGCCCTCAGCTCCTCCTGAACTCCACCTGTGCCCCTCAGCCTGCTGGGTCTGGCACCTCAGTGCACACCTGTGCAGGTCGCGTTTCAGCGAGGAGGGTCTTCAGGTGTCAGGTGAGCTCCTCAAAGCACTGAAAATCCCTTGCTCTTTTGAGACCTGTTGGTGACACAAGATAAATGTCCACTTAGTAGTAGAAAGTGTTGTTTCCCATGAAATGATCTTTTGTAATGTCCTAGGCTGCATACCTCCCTTCCAAGCCTATTTTTTCTCCACAGCACATCTCCACAAGGCAGAAGCCCTTTAAATCATGATTCAGTACTGAATTTGAGTGTTGTCTTACTCTTCCCACCAGAGGGCCAGCTCTAGGAGGCAAGAATGAGATGACCTTGTTCACTGCCAAATCACCATGCCTGGAACAGCTCCTGGTGCAGGAAAAGTCATCAAAAATATCTGTTGGTTAACAGGTATTTTACTTCTCTCCACTGAGCTCCTGATCTGCACGTCTGCTTATGTCCCCGCTTGGATGTGTAACAGACAACTTGACCTCCACGTACACCAGATGAGGCTGTTGGCTCCTCATACCAGTCCCTCAGCAAACCTATTCCTCCCTCGATCCGCTAATTGAGGAAATGACACAGAGCACTGCAGTTGCTGAG